ACTATTGCTGTTTAGATTAGTAACATATTTCTTCTCCTAAAACCCATTTGTATTGATCATACAGTCTACTTGTGCCATTCTTTTGAAGCTCTTGTGGATGGATTAAAATCGGTGTGGAACTATTTCTCTGTCTTTTTGTAGTGATTGAAAATCATATTAAAATTCTCTTCCTTTGACATTTTTTCCGCTAACAAACAGCCTTGAACTGTCCATTTACTTATAGGCTACAGATGTGATGAACCTTTCCATTCGGACTTCTCCGAGCTACAGTTCTGACCTCATCTTTCCAAATAAATCCAGGATTACATAGATTTTGGCAACAAAGTTTTATTGTTAATGTAAAACAGCAATGATTATTAGCTGTTGGGCTGGCTAGTCATGTTAATATTTTTTAAAAATTAATTAGCTGCAATTTTTTAAAATTGGTTTTATGTACTGCAACTTTGGCAGTGGTGCAAGCATGAAATAGTCATCCTTGTTTAATATCTACATGTGAATGTTACATGGTTCCAGCTCAGATTGTCTTTGGCAAATGAGTGTGTTACAGAAAAATGAATATATGAGGTGCATGGATTACAGCTCAGCTGTTTGTGGTGTTACTCCACCCACTCAGAGATCTCAGAGAACCGTTTGACTTCCCTGTGTGATGGGGAACTGCATGTAAAAGCTGCCACTCATATTCGTAGTGTAGAAGCTAAGATTGCCTTGGAAGCTTTTGAAGTGTTTTATTCCCAGTATTGACAGACCTGTCCATTTTTCCTGCACCTTGTCATGGCAAAACATGGTGCAAAGTAACCTTTTCTGTGTTTCGTGTGTGCTGTGTAGAGAAAGGGGCACTGCTGCAGGAGGAGGGAGGTGATCGTGCCCCCGTACTCGGCACTCGTGAGACCGCACCTCGAGTACTGTGTCCAGTTTTGGTCACCACAGTACAAGAAGGACATCGAGGTGCTGGAGCGGGTGCAGAGAAGGGCAACAAGGCTTGTGAGAGGTCTGGAAAACATGCCCTATGAAGAGCGGCTGAGGGAACTGGGTTTGTTTAGTCTGGAGAAGAGGAGGCTGAGAGGAGACCTTATTGCCCTCTACAACTACCTAAAAGGAGGCTGTAGTGAGGCTGGTGCTGGTCTCTTCTCTCTAATTACTAATGGCAGGACAAGGGGAAATGGCCTCAAGTTGCGTCAGGGTAAGTTTAGATTGGATATTCAGAGGAAGTTCTTTACTGAACGAATGGTGAGGCACTGGAACGGGCTGCCCAGGGAGGTGGTGGAGTCACCAACCCTGGAGGTGTTTAAAAAAAAAGTAGATCTAGCACTTGAGGCTATGGTGTAGTGGTTAGGTATGCTGGGATGAAGGTTGGACTAGATGATCTTCAGAGGTCCCTTCCAACCCCTAACATTCTGTGATTCTGTAGAGTGCTCCAATTTCTCCCTTAAGACAGCACTCCCTGGGCATGTGCTGCACATCGGGAAGACAGCGTATGGTCATGCAGTTCTTTCCTGGTTATGGACAGAGAAAGAAGGGGCATCGAAAGGGAAATTACTGAAAGAAAGGGCTTAACAGGCTTACAAAGGAAAAGGAAGTCCTGTGAGTTTCTTTTAGACTTGGAGGTGCTTCTGGGACTTTTGTGATGAAATAGTACAGAAACAAAGAAATGCCAATGCTAAGTTGTGATTTGTGGCTGTGGTGTTTCACGAAGGATGTGCTTTAATATAGAGTACATTTCAGAGAAGCTCAGAGGAACAGCAGTTAACCCTCTAATGCTGAAGTTTTTATCAGCTGCTAGTCATTTTCCCCATATGTATGTTTTTCAAATTTATTTTTGTCTTTTCCCTTGGGCTGCCTCTTTCTGTACTATCCTCATAGTTCCTATGTGCTTTTCCTGTTTATGCAGTCTTTTCTCAAAGAATTTGCTACTAGACACTGTCAGGAGACCACACTAGCCTGTACTACCCTTGTCCCAATCTAGTGTTTTCATTCCTGTGTTCTTACATGATTTGCAATTGCAATTACTTTCTATTCTGTCACATCCTCAGTACGGGTATCTGAAAATGCCGATGTGCAGAAAACTCTAATGGGTTCCAGCTAGTTTTTCAAGGAGTGCTTCTCCCCACCCCCTTTTTTTAATTATAGGAAATTAAACCACCACTTGAATACCCCTATGTCTATTCTATAACAATTCTCTAGTATTGTTGCCAAAACTGAAGTATACAATAACTTCAGACAGTAAGGAATAAAATAATAGTGCATTGTAATTAAAAGAATAGAACTTCCAGCTAGTCCTTGAATGCTCCAGAGGCTGTCTAAGGAAAACAGTAGCAAGAACAGTTCTAGCATTCAAAACTTAAGACTGTTGTTCTCTTGACTGCTAGAAGTCTTTTTACGTTTGATTCTCAGAGATCTAGACAGATTCACTCTTAAGTATTGGATTTCATTTTAGTGTTATTGCACAAGTGGGTTTTTTTCACAGACCTTCTGAGATGACCCTGATTTCATAAGTTCACACTGAAACCTTTATTTGGAGGATAGTTGCTGAACCTCTAAAGTGTCCTTGTTATGTCCCTCACTTACAGATTTCATACTTAATAGCTGTCACCAAACACCTTGTACTCTTAGATACAGGCAGCACGTTCAGCTGATCAGCCCACTTGCACCTGCAGCAGGTGCAACAGTTTCAGGTGCCACTGTTTGAGAATGCTGAATGATCACACACATTCATACAAACGGCCCCTCCCTCTGGCTTCTGTTGAACAATTGTCATATTTATTACTGCAATCCATGGGTTTTTGCCTTGGTCCTATTTCATGATGTGTTTAGGAATCCCCAACACCTTTGAACTTGTAATTTACAAGAATTAGGCCACTGCTTGTGGACCTCAGTCTTATTCCACTGCTTTTCCAATTGGTGATCTTTTGCTGACCAGAGAGGTCAGAGATGTCTTACCCAGCTTTTATCTTATATTCCTTTCCTGGAGTGTTTTTCCTTACCTGGACTTTAGCCTACCTCAAGCTATTTTTTTCTTCTTAACACTAATTCTTTGCAGATAGTTTATAAAGTCATTTTTTCCTATTCAGCTGTTCTCCACTGGCTGTGCTGCCAGTGTGGTTCTGCTGTGGTTCCATTGGCTGTCCTTTTCAATCATTCTCAGCAGTTTCCTTCTGAACTGAAATAATCCTCCAGAATTTGAGAGGAGGAATACTTCATTTAATGCTGGATACTATGACAGATTTTTTTTCTTTCATCACTTTTAGGTTTCTAGAAAATGCTCATTTATTGAATATTACTGGCCAAATTTTTTGCTTACCACCTTATCAGGATTAACCTTAGTAATTAAGATATTCCCAGGAGCACGGATAAGTCGGATACTGTCGTATTTGCCATAAAGTTTTTAAAAGACACTGTGGAAGAAATGGGTAAATTATTATCAGTAAACCAGCATTAAATATAGTCATAATCTGAGTAAAGGAGGACATGAAGGAATGCAGTTAATAATAAGATGTGTTTACTTAAGAATTGTTTGGCATTCCTATCATCACCCTTAATAATTTCTGAATTTTTCCTTTATGTTGTTCTTTCATTTCATGTCAGCATAAAAGCGCTGAGTGCTTTGGATTGCCCTTCTAAAACAAAATGTGTGACCTTTTGGGCTTGTGGCTAAAGAACCAGAGTAGTCCACAAACTTTAAATTTAAATTTAACTCTTTAAAATTATTCTAGAATTTCTTCCATGATAGCCAATGGATATGTAAAGTTTTGGCCCCAAATCTCTATCCTGCAGTTGGCATGTTTCTTACTGATCTAAGAGCAGAACAGTCGAGCGCTTGAGCTGGGAATACTGAAGTTTTAAGCCAGTATCTCCTACTTGTCCACTATGTGAGCTTGGGGAGTTACTTATCCTTTTCATGTGTAAAAAAAAGGGTGTTATGATATCTGCCTTTTTAGAGGCAGTAGTTCTGCTAGTTAAATACTACTGATGTAGAAATTAAAAAAAACCAGCCAGAACTATTATGTATGAGCTAAGAATAGTCATTTTGTGGAAACAGCTTTTTTTTGTAAAAGAACTTTTAGCTACTGTATTATATGTCAAGGAATTTTGTCTTTAGAGTTACTGTCTCTTTAGCTGGGGCATTTGTGTGGCTGTTACCATATTATTAGAATAATCACAATTTTTAATGAATATATATTCCCATAGACAGTTGCATGATGAGGACTTGCTATCATGTGCATTTTACAACTGAGCAGACTTTGAGAATGCCTGGACTTCTAGTGAGCACTCAGAGGCACACTTACCTTCGGTTTGGGTGGGCACTGCTATGTTGGATACAGACCACAGCAGACTTCCCATGGTCCTCTTCACCTAGAAGGGATGTCATGTAATCTGTGTCAAACCAATGTGACAACCTAAAATGTTTCCAAGGAAGACTTCAGCTATACCTGCTGCAAAACTGAAACAAGGCAAATATGAGCATGTGGAGCTGGATCTTGGGAACTAACCATGTCTTGGCTACTCATGGTTTCAGGCAGCTCACGTGCAGAAGAGATCCAGGCTGAGTTATTCACTCCAGACTGAGCAGGACCACCAATAAATCGGCAAGGAGAACTCAGTTTCTGGGTTTGAATTCTAACCAGTATAACAACTGCCTTTCCTGTTTTTCTAAAACTGTATTTAAGGTTAGTCTTCAGATTGTTTTATTGTATACAATAAAACAAGTGGAAGCTGATACAAAATTCTTAGAAATGTTTTCTGGAAGTATTTCAGGAAACTGATAGATACAAAGAACTGTCAATAAATTCAAGAAAAATGTGTCATTGTCACAATCCTGCAGCAAGTTCCATGTCAGAATATAAGCTGTGGTCCTACCTAAGAGCTCCTCCCCACCACATTATGTACATTTGTGTCTATCGATTTCTACTGTATAGTTTCAAATATTTGCCAGACTAGTTCACAATAATGTTCGCAAGAATGTCCAGAACAAATTGTCAGAAACAATTACTTGATGAAGGATGCTGTATAACTAATGCCATTCTGTAATTATTAAGTTCAATAAACAGAAATCTTTGCAAGCAGATAGTCCTGCAAACAATCAGTATAATTAACAAAAATGTAAACAGCATGGTTTTTTCTGTCTGAGTATCAACTATTTGAATGTACAAAAACATAACTGCCTTATTAGCCTATCACAGTGACAATTACACCGTGCTTCTTTACTGTTTGAACTGACTGTTCTTTGTGTCGTTCCCATTCCTCATCATCTTTGTCCAGATCAAAAGTTTCTGGATAAACTGTCAGCTTGTCTTTTGGGCACTCCTCATAGTAACTTCGAACATATTTTCCAACAGACCATCCTTTGTATTCCTCAGGCGTTTTGCATTCTAGACCACTGTAGTGAACATTGTAGTGATGCTTCAACCAGTAGAAAAGGTAATGGATGTTGTAATCACATCTCCAAGGATTGTCTCTCAGCCACAGTATTTTCAAAAAGTAGAGGTCTTCCAGTACTCCATATTCAAAATTCTGCAAGCTGTTGTTTGATAGATCCAGCTCCTCTAAGTTATTGAGGCCTGAGAAAGCAGCTAGTCAACAGAAAAATAGTTATTGGTACCTAATAATATTAGAAAAAAAACATGCATATCTACAACAGAGAAAACATTTTCCTAATTATACATTTATTAATTTTTTTTTTGGCTAATAGCTGTGACAAGGACTTTTCCGACACTGAACATTAAAATATGGCTTGTGCTTTGAGAAGTGACAGATTAGTGTAAATATATTGACATTAGGAAAGTTGTACTGCTGATAAAGTTATAAAACACGTAATCAGCATGTGTGAGTGTAGAATAGGGGTTAGGGAAGATGAATGAATGCTTGATTTGCTCAAAGAAGTCTACTGTTACTGCCATGATACAGAAGTAAAAGTAGGGAAATCGAGTATGTATTAGGCAATGTGTAGGGCTAATAGTTCTTGTACCTATGCCTGTATTTGTGTGTGTGTGAACAGAATCTTTAAATTAATCTTTTAAGGTATGGAAGCTAATAAATATGGAGCTTCAGAATAATCCTGCTGAGTCACATTTCAGAGAGCAGCCCATACTTTTTGCAAGTATACTCTTTCATTTAATGCCAGAAGTCTTAATTTAGGTAAATCAATTATGTATAATGTTAAACTTCCTAAGTACCACTTTCTACTGCTGCTTAACTTCCAAAATGCTACTGAAGAAGACTCTTAATGCTTCATACTTCCTATGTCTCTCTCCTTGTATCTGCTTTCATAGTTGAAAGCTGAATATACACAGATGAAAAGCAAATTGCCAGCAAGGCTGCTTGAGTTCAGATAACGTATAACTTAAGAGCAATTATATGTAGTGATTTTTAATCTGAAAGTGTTTAAATCCTTTTGGTTTCTCTGTACTTTATTGTCCAATATAATTTAAAAGCAGCCTCTTCATATGACAAGTTTTCTTAGGTTTGGCAAACATACTTAAAGAAATCATTCAACTATTTAGCCTTCAGTCTGCAGAACTAAATTTTTGCACTTCCTTGGTTTTGTGTTCAGAAAAGGCAGTTGAAATCAATCTCTCTTCATTGACTTCCATGATGAATACATTCCAGTGCAAACCTTTATGAATTGAGTGATACAAAAGGTAAAATTTGCACCAACTTCCAGATTTTTATATCCTTTTTTCTGCATATTTATATTTAATAGGTACACTATCTCAGTTTATAATTAATAGAACATGAATAGCTTTTTAATGAATATTTAAAATTATTCTTACCGGGATCAATGTAAGCTATTCCATTACTGTTTAGGTTTAATATCTTCAGTTCAGTGACATCTTCAAACTCTTTGGCTCGTAGTTGTCTTATTTTGTTGTTGGACAAATCAAGTTTAACTATATCTGGAGGTATGTTACCTGGAACTTTCTTTAAATCTTAAAAAATGAAAAAAACATAACTTACATCAGCTTTAGATTTTTCTTACTACTTAGGTAACATAGTTGCATACCACACAGAGTTCTGTCAGTCTAGCATTGTTTCTTGTTTTCTTTCCCTTTTAGGCCCACTAGTAGTGTCAACATGCTTTTTCAGCTTCTGAATTTCATTGCTTTGTTCACTTGTATTTTTACATTTTATGTGAAAATTACTTTCCTCATTATAGTAAATAGTAAAGAGGCTTATAGTAAAGCCTCTTTCTGTGTTTTATATTTTTATTTTAATAGAACCATACTATTCGTTCATATGGGGGTAGGGTAGGTAGGAAGATACTATGCTAAGAAAAAGTATGTGTGAAATGCTTGATCATTTAATGAAAAGAAACCAGAGTATCTAAAAAATGTTTATTTGTATATAGACATCTTCCATAATCAAATTACAGTGTGCTATCTTACAACCTTTGTTTTGTGTTGCCAACGTTCTAAATTTTTTCAGCAATAAAAATGCTAGTTGTTAGAGCATTTATAGTAATATATATGCAGTAATAATTACAGTTCTCTACTTACAGTTATGCAGTGCTTTAGTAATATTTAAGACTTCATATTGTTACGATATGTTATTATATGTCCAGACAGTATAGAAGCATCCTGCCTATCTACTTCTCTATCCTACTTGTGTCACTGACATTACCAAAGTAGCCAAGCACCTCCCAGTCATCTGTGTGTGTACCCGTACAGAGTTCCTTGCAGAAGAGTAGCTCCTAGTCCAGTAGTAAGAGCACATTTTTGAGAAGTCCCAACTGTGGTTTGAATCCTCTCAAGATAATATTAATAAACCTAATCTCCAGGATTATGTTTACTCAATGAGTGTTATAATCCTGGACTATTATTGTAAGAAAATAAGCAGTGTCTCTTGTCTGACCATCTTTGAATGAAGGCAAGTAGTTTCTGGATCTGTGCTGAAATTTGTGCTTTCGGCATGCTTCTGAAGTTCTGAAGATGTCTAATGCATCAGGTAATCCCTAGACTAAAGCAACTATCAGAGTCTTCCTGCATTGTATCTGATTTTGAGCAGAGCTTTGGTATTAGAAATACATAAATATTGTAACTACTCCAGCCTGCTCTGATTGGAGTGCTTCCTTCTTGTGCAGATGTCAAAGTTTCAGGGCCTATTTATCACCAGATGAATGGAAATAATGCTTGAATATAGACTTGAAGGGGTTTGGCAGTACTAGAAAGTGGATTTTTTTCAACTGCTCTTGCAAATACAAATTCTTTTGCAGAAAAACAAACAGAAGTTACTTTTGCATCCAACTTTTCTTGCTTTTTTCTGGTAAAACTGAGTCGAGGAAATAGGATACTTTCATTCTCAAGTACTGAAAGATCTGGTATGTTACAGGTCTGATAAGATAAAAATAAGCAGTTCTTCAAAAAGGAAGATATACACATGTATTGTGTATTTTTAAGATTTTTTTTTGGTGAGCTTTCTGACATTAACTGAAAGCTGCTGACCTGTTGTCATATCTCCTTTGAGATACATAGTACTGGCTTGTCTCCCCATCCACTCCATTGTAAAGGAGTAATGGATTGCATCTTTTCTTGTCATCTTACTGATGTGACAAATGATGCATATTTTTTCCTACTCTGGAATCTTGTTCATGTGAATTTGGAGAAATTTTTGTGTTTTCCCTGGATTTTGGGTGCATTATACCCCTGTTTCTGCTGAAAATTCCAATAAAATTGTGCATCTGCTACACAGTAATCATATGCAAGGACAGTAAGTACAATGCTTTCATCAAAGATTACCATATGTTCAGAAATCCCAAATGTCTATGGGATACGTGCATCCAGCTGTGAAGCATATGCACAATAGATCTGATACTTCCTCAAAAATATTGAATGTATTCAATGTGTCCATGCTAGACATTCAGGAAGTCCGGGACTGGTATACTTGAGCTCTTGAACTGAAAGAGGGAGTCCCTGTACCCTCCAGTACACTCATGTAGAGGTTGACGTAACTTCATTCCTTTGTTATTAGTACCAAAGACGGTGAACTCTTGTTCTGAAATACTGTAAAAGCCTGTGGAACTCCAATGAAGAGCAAACCGTGTTGAATGTTTCTATAAACTTAGGGAAAAAAATAACATTTTTCTTGCCAAAAGCTTCTGAGAATATCCATATATTCAGCTTATCTCTTTGATACTACTGAATGGGGAGAGCTGGAAAGTCAGTTCCTGTATTAAAATAATTAAGATTGTAATCTGTAATCTAATTAAGATTCTATCTACAAGGAAAGTTAAGGTGGGTGAATATTAAGAAATTAATAAATGTTAGGCATCTTTAACAAAAAAAAAGATGTAGTAGCTTTATGGAAAAAAAAGGAGAAAAGTGAGCTGTAGGAATCATGGAGTCATAGAATCATGGAATTGTTTTGGTTGTAAGGGACCTTAGTGATTATAGAATGTTAGGGGTTGGAAGGGACCTCTAGAGATCATCTAGTTCCAACCCCCCTGTCACGGGCAGGGAAACCTCCCACCAGACCAGGTTGCTCAAAACCACGTCCAACCTGGCCTTGAGGACTTCCAAGGAGGGGACATCCACAACTTCTCTAGGAAACCTGTTCCAGTGTCTCGCCACCCTCACATAAAAGAATTTCTTCCTAATATCTAATCTAAGTCTACCCTCTTTCAGTTTGAAACTGTTACCGCTTGTCCTATCACTACAGTCCCCAACAAAGAGTCTCTCCCCTTCTTTCCTGTAGGCCCCCTTATTCAGTTCTGGAGGGCTGCCATAAGGTCTCCCTGGAGCCTCCTCTAGGCTGAACAGCCCCAACTCTCTCAGCCTGTCCTCTTACGGGAGGTACTACAGCCCCCTGGTCATTTTTGTGGCCCTGCTCCTACACGTCCGTGTCTTTCTTGTGCTGGGGGCCCCAGAGCTGAACACAGTACTTTAGAAAGAAAGGAATTTAACAGGATGGAAAATAGTGAAAACATGGACCATTTTTTATGACATCCATAGTAGATAAACCATATAATCAAATACTGATATTGTTACTTCTTTATATTTAGGTATTGTCTCCCTGTACTGACTTCTGAGTTTGACTGGCCTTAAGGTCCAACAATAAGGGCGCACAGAGTTGTTACATAAATTTTTGTCATGGCTAGGCTTCACGAACGAAGATATGGAAAGTCACTGTTAAAGCAAACAAAAGTTTAGCAAACACATTGCAAGATACAAGTGGGCAAAACATACTACAGTGATCTGATATTGTAGGCTGTGCTTTGCAGAAGTTGGGAAAAAATCCTCTGAGTTTTGGCTACTTCTAGTAATGCTTTTCATTTCTGATTTGTAATATGAAAGAACAACTCTTCCGAGTTGTTTGGTTGTTTGCTCCTCAGGGGATAAAACATGGGAAATATAAAGCACAAATAAATGTACTCTTTTTTGTTGATATATACCCCAGCTCGTTTACCCCTGAGGCTTAACTGTGACTTTTAGAAGCCTGAGAAGGATTTAGGAATGGAGTGAATCCAAGTGTCTGAAAAACATTTCTTGAAAGCCCTTCAACTTTGAAATATTTGCTGGGATCTGGGAGGAGGAACACAGAGAGTCATTTTGTTATGAACAAAAGCATACATTTTCTTCCCTTAGTAGAAGAAACCTTGCACAGAAAACAGCTCTCCTTTGCAGTTAGGTTCCTTTGGGCATTGTAAGCACAGATGGCTGCTCCAGTCCTGCTTCACAGCTCGCTTCTGTCAAAGCTGTTGCTATCTTTGTGTTTCTACACTGGAAAGAAGAAAAGTCACTCTGTGCTTTTCTCTGTAGGTACAACAATTTCAGCACAGCTGTCATTTGATTAGTATGTTTATAGTTACAAAAACAGACTAGTGAGGTGCTGGTCCTTCACTAACTTAAGTATGTGCTTAATTTTATTCCTGTCAATTGGTGTTGGATATCTTATACTAGAGCACTAGAGAGTGTCTGTGGAATTGGGGCTGCAGAGTACAGGTAAAATGCAGAAAGAATTCCTTCTTGTTGCTTGTAGTTATGAAAGAAACACAAAGACTAAGTAAAAAAAGTACTACCACTATATTAATTTGCTGTAAATATTATGTGAAGAAATGTAGTAAGGGAGCAAGAATACTGAAATCATTAATTGAGTTATAAGGACAGATACAAACCTTTTCTTTTGCAGTTCAGAGTTGGTACAGGAAACACATACATGTGGCATAAAGAGGAATCAAATTCTGGTTTGACAGCTCCAGGTTTCTCGCGTTTTATGTTTTGGGGTTCCTGCCTATCCTCTTCACTACACAGCTGTTCCACTTTTATCTGCTTTAGCTTTTGATTTTTCAGTTCTATTGGATGCACACACTTGGCATAATTTCCCAAATTCCTGTTTGTTGGAACCTGTAGCATTGTAACGAGAGTTTCTAGTTCACAGCTGCAATGCCAGGGATTATCATAAAGACGTAGGTAGTTTAGACTGGGTGTATAAATAAAAATCTCCTCAGATAAAGTCTTAATTTGATTATGCTGAAGTAAGAGCGTGGTAAGCTTGTCCAAACCAAAAAAAGCCTCACTCTCGATTTTTGATATTTCATTCTGTTGTAAATCCAGACTTTTCAGTACTTTATACTTGGAGAACATATTATTCTTCAATTTACGAATCCTATTTCTTGCCAGGAGCATGTGTTTTAAATCCTCTGGCCAATCAGGTGCCACAAAAATCAATTTTCTTTCCTGGCAGTCTAGATACTTCTCATGAAGATAAGTGTATATTTCACATGGTGGGCCTTGGGCATTGCGCTTAACAGTGCTAGATGCTCTCTGCAAGATGTTTCCCCTTTCATTCTTTCTCAGACTCCTGCTTCTTGTCTTCCTACAGTCAGATGCTTTGCAAAGAAGAAGTAGTAGTATAATAGTAACTACTTGCATCCTGACATTCAGCTGGACCTGGGTTTTTTTCTGTGACTGCTGGAACAGTTGAAAATTTTGGATGGTTAATCAGTGTTGTGCAAATCTGAGGAGGCACAGCTGGAGTATGTGGGATTCCTGTTTTGGAAGAAAAGCAAAACATTAAGAGGGATGAAACAGGCATTTTCATGGAGACTTGTATGTCTGCAGTGCTTAACATCCTGCTTTGCAGAG